CACTGATGGATGTGTCTTGCAGAGAGGTGATTTCACCTATTCTTTGTTTTAGCCAGTCCCTGTCTGGTCCCATTGGAGCCCTCCCTCCAGAGTTGAGTCCTGCCTCTTCATTTTTACCCTTCACAGAATATAAAAGCCAGATTGGGCCGGTAGGTTGATGATACTATAATATCCACTGTCAGTTTCAGTATTATTAATACCCTATGTGGCCACACCTGGTTTCAAGGGTGGCTAGGAAACATAGTCTTCATTTTAGGAGGCCAGATGTACAGCAAAACTTCAAATTCCTATACCACAGAAGCAGGAATGAATGGGTATTGTGGCATAGCCAGCTGTTTCTACCATCTCCATCTATCTTAAACCATTAGTTCTTCACCATCTAAATTTTTTTGGAACTCATGGTGTGTCATTAGCCAAATCAGTGTCTTCAGCTTTTATTCTGAATGATCCCATTGCTCTTGAATTCTAACTTAAATCTGGTTGTTTCCTAAGGAGAAGCTGCTTTTACAGATCTCTCAAGTAGAGGCTATTTTGCCTCCCAAACTCGCATATGTCAGAGTCTTATCTCTCATTGCTGTTTCTGGACAGTCGATTCTCTTCTTCCTGTCTAAAATCTCCTGGTCCATTTGAAACAAGTCCTACCAGATTAAACCATTCTCTGCTGTGCTTTTATGTAGTCATCTGCAGAACTCTTTGCTCTGTCCTCATTCAATGAATATTTTAGCATCTTGCTGTCTCTATCTCCAATACTATTCTTATCATTATCTTCAGTGATTTAAATGCCCACGGATAAGTCTAGTCCATTGCCTGGCCTGTCAGTTCTGGGCCACCCACTTTCACAGTCATAACCTATCTTATCATTACCAATATTTATACTGGCCCTAGAATCTGTTTTAAGTATCCCATTGTCTATTTCCACTTGTTTTTGCTAGTTAACGTCCTCTGGAATCTTAATGCTAACAATTCTAAAGACTTCAGTAGAATTTCCAGGCCATTGAATCTACCACTTTTTCATGTTCTCTTTGATAGTTTCATCTTATTGCATGGCTTTGAATATGATCTTTTGCTGACAACCCTCAAATTGATATCAATATCTAATTCAGGGGTCCCCAAACTTTTTACACAGGGGGCCAGTTCACTGTCCCTCAGACCATTGGAGGGCCGGACTATGCAAGGTATGACCCCCTTCACAGCCAGCGCTACTGCCTCCACTGTCCCAGACAGCGGTATACAGTGTCACAGGCCCAGCACCACCTCCAGTGCTGTATACAGGGATGGTGGTGATCAGCCTGTCAAACTGTGTATACAGCGTCCTGGACATCTGCAGCAGCGGTGGGCCTCTTCTGTGGGAAGCCCACTGCTGCATGTTTCCCCTCTTATAAGACACCTCCTAAAAATAAGACAGCCTCCGTCTTTTGGGGGTAAAATTAATATAAGACAGGGTCTTATAATAGGGGAAACACGGTGTGTAGTAATGTGGGGGGAGACTTTTGGGCAAAGGGAGGTTATAGGGGCCATTATGTTGTATATTTTGGTGAGTATGGGGGCCATTGTATTGTGTAGTAATGGTTATAGTGCTTTGCCTTTCTTCCTACTTCGCTGTTATTTCACACTGCTTCCGGTGATGTGGGGCACCACAGCCGCAGACGGGACGTGCGTCATATGACGCACTTCCGGAGCCGTGACGCGTGCATCCCATGTCACTGGAAGTAGTACTGTACGTGAGTGATGTTGCGCTTTGCGGTGCCGCCACATACAGTGCTCCTCTCACTGACCACCGATGAAAGAGGTGCCCCTTCCAGAAGTGCGGTGGGGGCCGGATAAATGGCCTCAGGGGGCCGCATTCAGCCCACGGGCTGTAGTTTGGGGCCCCTGATCTAATTGATATCTGCAACTCCAACTTCCCGCTTGACTCCAGACTTACTTTATTATGTCTGATTTCTCTTTGGCTTTGCCATTGGGTTGTCTAATAGACACCTTGTACTTAACATATCCAAAACAGAATGTTTAATCTCACCCCTTCCAACCTGTTTCTCAATGTTCTTCATTTCAATAAATGGCAACTTCATTCTACCTATTGAAACTTTACAGTTATTTTTTACTACTATTTTTCTTAAACCCAATTCATCAGCAAATCTTCTGAAATCTTTTTTTCAAAATATATTTAGAATATGACCACTTTCATGCTACTTGTACTACCGCCTTCCTTGTCCTTCTTTATCTAAGTCACTTTCATTTTTCTTCTGGATTATTGAAATCTTAACTGGTCTTACTGCTTCCAGTCTTATTCATTTTCTCTCCTGATAGGCTCTTTTTTGTATAACACCCATAGCATCCATTTAAAACGTAAGTCAGCTTATATTGCTTATTTGCTCATAACCTCTCCACTGGCTTCTTGGTTCATTCAGAAGAAAAACTAAAGCTTTTATTATGACTTTCCAAGGCTCTGCATGATGTGTCCCACCCTCTTCTTCCCTAATTTCCTGCCAATCCCTTACTTATTTTATTTTAGGTATACTGGCCTTCATATTCTGACTTAGCTTTAGAATAATTACTAGCTGGTGTATTTAGAATAGTTTGTAGGGGTAAGTATAGGAATAGGAAGATGCGTTTTGAGACCACTGCAATAATTGAGGCTGTGGATGGTGGTGGCTTTGGACTATGAGGAAGGTACTGAGAAATGACCAGATTTGTTGTATATTTTAGTGGTTGGATTGTCACATTTTGTTGGGCACATTTTTTCCTCTCAAGCCTCATAAATGTTGACCCACACTGGACCAAAAACAACTTTTAAATGATTTTTAGTAGCAAAGAGATAGTTGCCGTTACTTGCTCCCTGTGTAAACTTGCAAAGTTACCTATACCCTCAAAATTTTCTTTTCTATTATCTAAATCCAACCCCTGCCCCAATGCCACTGGATAATCAGAGCCTCATGATCAGTGCCCTTAGGCAGATAAAAACACCTTAATGTAGCATTCAGGCACATCTGCATTTCCCCAAATTGGCTATGTTTTAATATTACTTTTTCTGTTATTTCCCTGTTCAATCTCACATCAAAGTACACATATCATTCATACAGATGATCTCAGATAAATGGAATGTGTGGGGAAGATCTTTCTGAGTAAGCGAAGATCTTCCCAGTGTTAGAATGCCATAATCTTTTTTCTCTGATTCCTTGGCATGATGTTTCTGAATGGTTAGTGATTCCTTTCTTATGAAAACCATACTGCTTCTGCTGGGTGTGGTGGCTCATACCTATAATCCAAGCACTTTGGGAGGCTGAGGCAGGTGGATCATGAAGTCGGGAGATAGAGACCATCCTCATCAACATGGTGAAACTCTGTCTCTACTAAAATACAAAAAATCAGCCCAGCACAGTGGCACACGCCTGTAGTCCCAGCTACTTGGGAGGCTGAGGCAGGGGAATTCCTTGAACCAGGGAGGTGGAGGTTACAGTGAGCTGAGATCATGTCACTGCACTCCAGCCTGGTGACAGAGCAAGACTCCATCTCAAAAACAAAACAAAACAAAACAAAAACCATACTGCTTCTACTATTTGTAGGGGATTATGATTTATTTTCATGAGGAATTATTTTAATAATTATGGATTTTGGCAGTTTTAGGTTTTCTGATGTAGAATAGAAAAAAAATGTCTTTTAAGTTTCTGATTGTAATAGTATATTCAGCTTTTTTGTGTATTTTATTGTTGATTGTGTTGCATTTCCAGAAGCAAATATTTATCTGCCTTTCTTCTTTTAAAATCCTTATAAGCTGAGTAAATTTCAATTATTGTGAAAAAGCAGCATTTCATAAAATGTTGTTAGTCTTTTTTCCCCTTTCTAATTTGAGGGGGTCTGATGGAAGAGGGAGTTTGGAGGAAGGCAGAGAATTCTTAAAGACCAAAAAAGTGAACTTAGGAAGTGTGCCTGGTAGACATTGTAATCTAGCTCCAGCTGTGCTACACGTAGTTTCATACTTTTGAAGTTCAACAGAAATCACCCTAAGAGAACTGAAAGAGAAAGAAGTGAAAAGAGTGCTTTGAAATATGGCTATATTTAGCACCTTGCTGATCTAAGGTTTCTTGGATTCAGGAGAATGAGAAATTATCTAAGGGAGGCCTACTGAATTCTTATCTGTAGTCAGGACCTCCTTTGATGTAGTTAGCAGTAATTTTCAACTTGGTAAAGAGGATTTTTTCCCATTAATTACACTTTCATTTGATTTATATTTATCTATTTAGGTTAGTGATGTTACTCAGAAAGAATTCTGTAAATGTAAATCGGACTCAGACAATTTAGCATTTTCTTGATTTCTATCTTTTTTTTTTTTTTACAGCAACATATTCATAGCAATCATTTGTGTCTTGATGATATGGCTATTTGGGGAATGTTATTCTTCTTTTTGTAAGTTTTTATTTGGCAATTACACTGTGATTTTTACATAACTTTCATAAGCATTTTATTACCTCTTTCTTAAATAAGTCATTCATTTTTTACATTGTCACTGTGGTAACCATAACTGTTGGGCAGTGTATCTGCCCCCACTGCAGGATGTCAACCCCTGATTGGGCCCCTAGGTTTATGATGTTATATTTTTCCACATGGATTCTAGAATTGTAGCTTAGTCTTCAATCAGACCTTCTATATTTAACTTATATCCAGTAGACAGGACCAAAATTGAAGAGTTCCCAGTTTGTAGACTCTTTTGATTTGGCCTCAGGACATGGAAATTCTTTACCTGACCAGATTCACCTAGTGGTGTTCTGCGTAGGACTGTCTCAGGTTGTAGAAGACTCCTGGGGGTTGACCTAAGGCTCTCCATCATCTCTTGGCAGGATTGGCACACCCACTAGTTTTCTTTCTCTTTCCACGCACTCGGTGTCAGAAGGATTGAAGGTGCTCCTTGGGGTGCAAAGATGTTTTGTTTGCTTTTTTTGTGTGTACACATACATTTGTTTTTTCATGCTGACTTTATATTTTATCTCCTTTTATTTTTACAGAAAATACAATCAAGTGGCATCTGAAATTTTTGCTAGAAGTGGAGTCATGAGACTGAAGATATCTCTTTTAAAAGAACCAAAGCATATCCTTTTAATGCTTATAAATCTTAATGTGATTTTCTTAATTATAGTATTGTTAAAACTTTCCTCTATTTTATAATCTAGTTGAAGAATAGATTTTTTTTTTCATTCCTTTAGTGGCTGTTTACCTAAATTGTTTTAAAATATTTAAGATCACGTGTTGTAGGTAATTCTCCAAAGTGAACTATTTGCTATAAATCTTACTTTCAAATTCTTATTGACATTTTTCTTACTGTACTTAAGTACTATACTTAAATACTTAAAAAGCAGTTTTTGTTTACTTTAATAGGATCTTAAAAAGAAGCTTTTTTTTTTGGGACGGAGTCTTGCTCTGTCGCCCAGCCTGGAGTGCAGTGGTGCAATCTCAGCTCACTGTGACCTCCACCTCCCAGGTTCTAGTGGTTCTCCTGCCTCAGCCTCCAGAGCAGCTGTGACTACAGGTGTCCACAAACCCGTCTGGCTAATTTTTGTAATTTTGTGTTTCTTGTAGAGCCAGGGTTTCATCATGTTGGCAAGGCTGGTCTTGAACTCTAGATTTTAAGTGATCTGCCTGCCTCAGCTTCCCAAAGTGCTGGGATTACAGGCATGAGCCACCGTGCCTGGCCAAAAAAAGCAAGTTTTTTTTTTTTTAAACCAAATAATTTCTTTGCCAGTGTGATCTAGCATTTATTAAATTCAGCTGTGCTCTATTTCTTAACATTCGTGATAAAGTGAAGGACAAGTTGGGGAAATTTGAGCAGTCAGATCCTCATTTCACATGGGAAGGTGGCAATTAGTAATATTTTCTCAAACACATGACCCTATATTTTATCAGCAATAGTCCCCAGTTATGTGTCAAGAGAAATGACAGGCCCCATTATCATCATTCTTAGACATTTAGACTAACTTTATTCAAAGTATCTTTTGTAGACTTTATTGCAAGTCTGTGAAGGAATAAAAGAAATTGAAAGTAAGGGCAGAGAAATTTTTGTAGCAATTTGACATTGTTATAATGTCCAAATTTTCTAGTGTTTCATTTTTATTATATCTTACAAAATAGCCATCTGCAATGGATTCAAAATTTTAAAAAATTCTGGTCCTTCATAAGAACTAGGAAAGCCCTGATTTAAACATTTGGTCAGACCTTTTAAATTGGTGTTTTCATTTTATGTTATCTTGTCTGCTTATTTAACTATTAAGTAAAGATATAATTATGTTTATTTCTCCTTAAATCATTTTTACTGTCTTTTCAAAAAGTGTGCTTTCAAGAGTTCATGCCATACACAATTTTATAGATTTTGAGACCATGTCTACTGTCTGCTTTTAGCTGTCAAGCCAAGGAATAACAATGTTTTTAGACTTTCTTGATCTGGCAGTCCTCTCATTTCTCCCATAATTTTAATTGACCTGTTAGTTTGAAAATAATGTCATGGATATCTGGCATGTACTTATAGCAATTTATATAAGGAAAAGCTAATGATTATTTGTTTCGGATATTTGTTTGTGTGAGTTTTCTTCCTTTCTGGGTTTTACCTAAGCTTCTCCCATTTTAGGTTTTACCTAACATTGTTTAGGCGACAGCAATTTTAATAGAACAGTTTTTTTAGGAACGGTCTAGTGTCCTTTTGTTTAGATTGTGTTTTGAGTTCTGAGTATTCCACTGTTTTCTTTATTACTTTTTTGTGCAGACTCTCTTACGATCTTTCTGTAATCTCTTTTTATCTTTTTGGGTTCTGCTTAATCTGTCATATTTTGAAGTATTAAAAAATCTTGGAACATCCTAGAATAATTATGGCACATTGTCTCTGTTTCCTTGGAAAAAACAATCAAACTATTGTTCAGATAAGACAATAAAAGTACTGGTGAGAAATGAAGGAAATAAAAGGATTATATCATAACAGTAAGAACAAACAACTCAACTAGGAATAATCTGGCAATATAGACATCCAGATGTAGCAAGATAAAACATTGTTTGTAAATAACAAACTGAAATGCCTTTAGGTACCACAGTTCTGCTAGGGTAAGCATTCTGTCCTGATGGAGGAAGTGAGGGCTACTTGAGCATCTCAACTTACATAGAAATTCTGATAAATTAGAGACTGAAAAAAATGGGTTAAATAAAGTAAAAATTTTTGGAATCATATCTCATCCAGCATTATGCATCTTATAAGTGAAGTAAATCATAATTGAATTATTTCCTAATTTTAATGTAAGAAAGTTTGGTATTGTCAATGAAAATAAGTTAAAAATATAAAATGAAAAATGAAAAAAAGTTTGGTAAGATTTTAGTTTCAGCTGTTAAGCCATAGGTTCTTTCCTAGATGAACTGTTATGATAATATGTGATTTAAAAGGGTATCTCACAGTTAGATTTCAGTCTTCTTTTGACATTTAATTTTTTTCTTAGCAAAAGAATACATGCTTATTTTAATAACTTAAATGACACAGATGTATATAAAGAAAAAAGTATAGTTCCCTTTGCTCCCCACCTATCCTCCAACAGTTATGTGTAGATCCATTGATACCTTTTGATCTACTAGGTTTCTTTTGTGTACCTTTTGGCTTTGTTTGTAGAATATTGTATTACGCAAGTTGTACATTTTCATGTGGTCAGATCTTTTCTTTCCCTCCTTTTGTCATCTGGATTTCTTTCTTGCTTTCTATTCTTAGAACTGTTTTAACAGATGCTTATTTTCTTTTATATAGAAAAAAATACCAGTCATAAAATGGAAAACACATTTAGAAGCTTGAAAACATTTGACCCTATTTTACTTACACCTTATAATCTGTATCTGTGAATTATTCATTAAGACTTAAGACTTTTGTATGTTTTATATCTCTTTAACATGGTGACACATCAAGAATTAGTAAGCTGTGTGGGCTGGACTACTGCTGAAGAGCTGTATTCATGTAGTGATGACCACCAGATAGTGAAGTGGAACTTGTTAACTAGTGAAACAACTCAAATAGTAAAGCTTCCTGATGATATTTACCCTATAGATTTTCACTGGTTTCCAAAAAGTTTGAGTGCAAAGAAACAAACCCAGGCAGAAAGCTTTGTCCTCACAAGTTCTGATGGTAAGTATTTAATAAACATTATATGTTTACCATTGTATTTAAAAGACTTAACAGTATTGTTTGTGCTTTGAGTTGTTTTACAAAACTGGTATTGGTGGATCTGCATACTTTTATCCACACATTGCATATCTTTCCTGAATAGTCACTTGGTTTGTATATAGGCTATGAGACTATTGTCATGGAAGAAAGTTAATCTAACTGGCATATGCTAGGATTGAATATGGGCCTTTGGCTTTATTACATATATATATATTTTTAGAGACGGGGGTCTCACTCCAGGCCAGAGTGCAGTGATGTGATCATAGCTCACTGTAGCTTCAAACTCCTGGGCTCAAGCAATCTTCCTGCCTCAGCCTCTTGAGTAGCTGGGACTGCAGGTGCACATTATCACATCGGTTAATTAAAACAATTTTTTTGTAGAGACAGGGTCTCATCTTGTTTCCCAGGTTAGTCTCATACTCCTGGCCTCAAGTAATCCTCCTGCCTTGGCCTCCCAAAGTGCTGGGATTATGGGGATGAACCACCATGCCCAGCTGGCTTTACTTTTTTAGTACTCTTACGAGTTGAGTTAAGCTGTTATCACAGTTTTAGTTTCTAAATTCTTCAAATTTAACTTAATACAACCACACTGAAAAGAGATACATACTCATTTAGTAAGGTATCTATTAAATATATCCTTTATTTTCCAGTACATGTTAATTTTCAGTTACAGAGTTGAAGAGTTATATAATTTGACCACAGCTTTCTATTGGTGCATAGAAAGTATGATTTTTTTTTTTTTTACTTTTTAAGGGTTTGTTTTTATATTTGTTTTCTTAGAAATAGTTGAACTGTTTTCATCTGTTATACTTTACCTACTGTTTCAGTTAGGAGCACATTTATTCAAAGTAACAGAAACTTTCTTGGCTAACTTAAGCACAAGTGGAGTTTTTTTTTTTTGTTCACTCAGCTCTAGGAGTAGATCAAGCAGTACTTGCATCAGGCCCCTGTTCTTACCATCACTTGGGTAGGTTCTGTCCACAGGGTCAACATGATGGTGAATATGATGTGGCTAGTAGCCAAGGCTCATCCTACTTTATAAGACTGCTTCTTCCTCAGTGTCTCATGTAGGCAGGTTGCAGAGGGACCCTAAATGAACTTGGGTCATGTGCCCAACACTGAGTCAATCAGTTTAGTCAAGAGAATGGACTTTGGGAGCCTGGGGCAGATCATTTGAGATCAGGAGTTTGAGACTAGCCTGAGCAACATGGTGAAACTCCCATCTCTACTGAAAATATAAAAAAATTGGCTGGGCATGGTGGTGAATGCCTGTAGTCCCAGCAACTTGGAAGGCTGAGGCAGGAGAATTGCTTGAACCTGGGAGGTAGAGGTTACAGTGAGCCGAGATCAACTCCATCCTTGGTGACAGACTCTGTCTCAAAAAAAAAAAAAAAAAAAAAAAGACACTGGGACACTGATGGAGTATATCCGGCCTCGGGCCATCCATATGCAAAGGGGAAGAGAAAGAAGAGTGCTTTTCTTACCAGAAGAGGGAAAGGCTGTTAGGAATCTCAGATTACACCTCTTTTACAGAGAGACTTGTGGTAGTTTTTTAAAAGCTTTGTTTTTTGCAAACTTGATTAAATGAGATACGTGTGTAAAATCACTTGGTAGAGTGCCTGGAACTTAGAAGATGAACCACAGCTAGAATTTAGTTTACCTCAGATGATAAAGTGAGCCGTTGACTTAAAAAAGACTTTGATGTAATTTAACATTTACAGAAAAGTTTTAAGAATTGTTGAAATAATTCCTTCATGTCCTTTATCCATATTTACCAGTTTCACATTTTGTCCCGTATACGTTGGTACAAAGTATTGGCTCTGTTTCTTGATACATACATGACACACACACACACACACACACACACACACACTTTTTCTGAAAGATGTGAGAGTAATTTGCGTATATGTACTTTTAACCATAAATACTTCAATGTATTTCATAAGAATAAGAATTTTCTGTTACATTGCCACAATACGTTGATAAAAATCATGACATTTAGCAATACTATTATCTAATCTATAGTTTATGTTTAAATTTTAACAATCATTCTAATTTTCCATAGAAATTTGTTTTTGCTAATACAGGATGTTACATTGCTTTTATTGTGTCTCTTTAGCTTCCTTTAATCTGGAACAACTCTTCAGTCTTTCTTTTATGATCTTGACAGTTTAGAAGAATATATGCCTGTTATTTTATAGTTCTTCCATTTATTTTTGTCTGATATTTCCTCATGATTAGATTCAATTTATATGTCCTTAGCAGGATACTCAGGGCAGCAGATTAGGAGATTTACGATGTTGGTTTGACCCATTATTGGTTATGTTAACCTTAATTATAAGTTAATAAGTTCATGTTCATTAAGTTAATCTCTGTAAAGTTACTATTTACTCCTTTTAATAATTTGTGAAAAGATACTTTGACACTATGTAAAAATATTCTCTTCCTCATCAAACTTCCTCGCACTCTGTTAGCATCTGTTGATGACTGTTGGCTGAATCACTTATTACTAAGATGGTTTGCCAAATGGTGATTTTTCCAACTCCATAATTCCTTCCATATTGATTAGTTGGTATTCTACGCCAGGGAAGAGCTTCCTGTCCCATGTCCATGTATTTATTTGTTTTTTGGGATCAGATTAGACTTGTAGATTCTTATTTTATTTCATAAATATTATTATCATTTTTAAATTTTGATGTTAAAAGTGCCCCAGATTTGGCCAGTGGGAGCCCCATCAAGCCACCTACAGTGATTTAAAAAAAAAAAAATTTTATATGTGTCTTCATCATTTTTTCAGCCTTTCTTGCTGGCACAAGATGTTCCAGGCTTATCTTGTACTTTCTTAGTCCCTGCCCCCAAATCATCCATTTTCCACAGAGACCTATTCTTTTTCTGGTGGTTAATGGTATTTTAAAAAACAAGATAAGAGTGCTAGCTCTGCTTATTGCAGTGGGTATATTTACTTCAAGGCCCTTTCAGTAGATAGAACTAAGAACTGTGAATATAAAACCTTGAAACCTTGAATATAGTGCTATCATAGCACTATATACATAATAGACATAGGTATATAGTGCTATGATAAATCAGAGGGACATAAAACTCTGCTGTGATGTGGCCAAGGGAGGGTCAAGAGAAATGTCACGGAAGTCTATGTCAAGAAAGCACACTTTTGTAGTCTTGACTTTTTTTTTTTTTTTTAAACAGTCTATAAAAATGCTGGAAAAGGCATAAAGGAGAGAAACCAAATAGTAAAATGGATAATCCCCAGCTTTAAAATACTTGCCTTATATAATTTTATACTCTGTCAGGCACCAGGTAGACAAAAGCAAGCCACTTAGTTGCAGAAGTATGTACATATATTGGCAAAAAATAAAAACAGTGTAATTCTAAAGGACATAAGCTAATTATTTGAGATGTCAGGGAGACAAAGCAACAGTGCAAAGAATAAGTGATAAAATAAGCCAAGAAAGGAAGGATCATTGTGGTTTCTGAATGATCATTAAATTTAATCATATACAGCTGGTAATTTAAAACACTTTCCTATCCATAGGTGTGATATATTTATTGGCATGTTATTTCTGAAGCATAGACATATACCCAGACCATAGGTATTTAAATTATGTTAACTAAATCAAAATGTTTATGAATTTTGATTTTTTCCCTATTATGAACATACATAATTATTTTGAACCAACTAAGCATATGCATTTTCAATTTATTTTAAAATATTTTATAATATTTAAATAATTTTGTTTTTGTGCCTATTTTCCAATAGATTTATGTATGAGATTAAGAATAATTATATTTTTAATATTTGCCTTTATGCCTCCAGCACCTATTACCTAGTCTAGTAGTAGGTGCTTTGTTGATTGAATAAATTAATAAAATAGATTTTTCAAATGTAATTTCTTTTAGGTAAATTTCATCTGATTTCCAAGTTAGGAAGAGTGGAAAAAAGTGTAGAAGCTCACTGTGGAGCAGTACTTGCAGGAAGATGGAATTACGAAGGAACAGCATTAGTTACAGGTAAGTTGTCTGTAAAAATGACATTTGAAATGAATTTTTTAAAGAAAAATTTCCAAAGAAATAATATTTTCATTTAGCAATAGTGTCTTTCATTGTCTAAAAGCAAATAATTGGCATAGTGTTGTTCTACACTGATATATAAATGTTATAATGCAGAATATTATATTAATTGTTTTCTTATGTGACCTTGGGAGACTGTTCTGTCAAAGAAGGCTTTTGGAATGGTCAAGTATAAGATAAATAAAAGTTGTAATTCTTTAAAATTTGAAAATTGCAAATATTCTCATTTAACTGATCTTTATCTCCCTTCTGTCTCTTTCCCATCCCCTGCCCTACGCTAAGGATTCTTATCTTCACCTATTACATTAGTTATCAGTTGCTCATAACAAAGTACTCCAATAGTTAGTTACTTAAAATAATAAGCATATAGTACCTGATAGTTTCTGTGGGTCAGGGAGTAGATTAGATTGGGGTGGTTCTGTCTGACTAAGAGCCTCTCATGAGGTTCTAGTCAAGTCGTTGGATGGGGCTGCAGTTATATGAAGGATTGTCTGGGGCTGGAGGATCTACTTCCAAGATGTCTTACTCACATGGTTGTTCACATGAGGCCTTAGTTCTTCTCTGGCTTTGACAGAAGACCTTAATTAATTCTTTGCCACAGGGGCATCTCCGTAAGGCTGCTTAAGTGTTTTTACAACATGGCAGCTGGTGTCTCCCAGTGATCCAAAAGAGAGCCAGGTAGAAGCTACTGTCTTTTTTGTAATGCATCCTCAGAAATCGTACTCTGTTTCAATTATATTCTGTTGACTTAGCAAGTCACTTAGTACAGCCCACACTGGAAGAGAGGAAAATTAAACCGTGCCTCTTGAAGGGAAGAATAACAAAGAATTTGAGGATATGTTTTAAAACCACCATACCTATACTCTGGGCTTTCTCTGGGACTTTCCTTAGTGAATTGTCCCTTCTCTTGCTTGTATCTTCAATGTCTCCTTGTCCAGTGGTTTCTTTGTCAGCATGTAAATATGTTCAGATGTCACTCATTTTAAAAATTAAGAAGAAATAAAAATCCCTCTCTTAATAAACAGCTTTCTGTACCTGCAACTATTTTCTTTCTCCCTTTTTCAGCCACACTGTTCAAAAGAGTAGTTTATTACTTCATTCAGTCCCCAACTCACTGGAATTTGGCTGTAGTTCTTATTACATTAGAAACACTTTTCTTAGAATTCTAAGATGGAGATTGCAGTGACAAAGGAAACATTATTTGAGTAATATGCTTATAAGTCTTCTAAGATTAAAGGAAATAAAATAAAATTTTTAATTATGAAAGTTAAGCTACTTTGATAAAATCATCTCAAAGCAATTTCTATTAATTGATACAGTTATAAAGTACTCTGTCATTTAATTAAACTGTATCTGAATTTTAAATATGTGTTAATATCCCATGATTTGAGGGAGCCTAGAAAAAAAAGAATATACAGTATTATAGGTACTGTTGATTTTTACAAAATCAACAGTACCTATAATTTAATGTTTAAATTTAATGTTTCAAATTTAATGTTTAAATTTATTTTCTATAGGTAAAAACACTGATTAAATTCTTTTCCCTGTATAGTTGGAGAAGATGGACAAATAAAAATTTGGTCAAAGACTGGGATGCTTAGATCAACTTTAGCTCAGCAAGGTATGTTTTATAATTGACAATTTCATTTTTGCAAATTATACAATACAAAAATGCTCTAAAGTTTTCCTTTAGAAACAATCTGATATGATGGTTGAGACTGACTTTGGTTGAGTTCAAAATCTATAATCTCTTTATTTTTTATACTTTTTTGTCTTGCTTTCCTTGGTGTCTGATGTACCGTGGTAACTATTATTTCAAGCCAAGAAATAGAAGAAATACTCAAGGGCTTTTTCTTTATGTTAGTGAATCTCTGTGAAGGCAGTTACAAGCTAAATATTTTCAAAAAATAATCGTGAAACATTTGAAGCATATTTTATGTAGAATAGAATTGGGTGTCTAGTACAAAAAGACATTGAGTATCTCTTTACTTAAAAACCCCCAATAACTTCATAATATGACCACCTTTTCCAAATTAAGTTGTATGTTTGATTTCTATACTAATGAAGGGGAGCAGGCACATTAAGAATCTGAAATTTGGTAAACCACACTATTTAGAGGAGCATGTTAATTTTCTATGTTAATAGAAAGGATTGGCCATAAAGACAATCCAGTGGTCCTTCCTGTTGGGAGTTAGTTAACATATATGATTTTTTTTCTGTGTAACAAATTAATTAGTTATGTAGGAACAGTAAAGCAGTTTTAATGTTTACCTGAGCATGTATCAGCTAATCTTCAGGTTGCCAAAAAACTTGTAGACTATTCCTCAGAACTATGTGATAAAGTCATATTGTGAAACATTTTTAATAACTGACTTCTGGCCGGGCGCGGTGGCTCAAGCCTGTAATCCCAGCACTTTGGGAGGCCGAGGCGGGTGGATCACGAGGTCGAGAGATCGAGACCATCCTGGTCAACATGGTGAAACCCCGTCTCTACTAAAAATACAAAAACTAGCTGGGCGTGGTGGCGCGTGCCTGTAATCCCAGCTACTTAGGAGGCTGAGGCAGGAGAATTGCCTGAACCCAGGAGGCGGAGGTTGCGGTGAGCCGAGATCGCGCCATTGCACTCCAGCCTGGGTAACAAGAGCGAAACTCCGTCTCAAAAAAAAAAAAAAAAAATAACTGACTTCTAAAAATTTCCAAATTTTATTTTAAAAATCATGTTTACGCCGGGCGCGGTGGCTCAAGCCTGTAATCCCAGCACTTTGGGAGGCTGAGGCGGGTGGATCACAAGGTCAAGAGATCGAGACCATCCTGGTCAACATGGTGAAACCCCGTCTCTACTAAAGATACAAAAAAAAAAATTAGCTGGGCATGGTGGCACGTGCCTGTAATCCCAGCTACTCAGGAGGCTGAGGCAGGAGAATTGCTTGAACCCAGGAGGCAGAGGTTGCGGTGAGCCGAGATTGCGCCATTGCACTCCAGCCTGGGTAACAAGAGCGAAACTCCGTCTCATCAAAAAAAAAAAAAAAAAAAAAAAAAAAAAAATCATGTTTACTTTTAGGATAACAGTCAACTCACATTTCTTCAGCTGTATGTTAACTGAATGTTAGCAAAGGTAACCAGAAATACTAGGTAATATTTCTTCTCTGAGCTTAAATGTTTGCTATGGATAATCTCAAGGTAGAATATTTATTCATGAGTAGAAAATTCAGAGTTCATAGAAGTAGCCATGGGTTAATTTCAGTTAATAGCAAAAGTTAACTTATTGTTACTTCAGTAATAAAATGTACCTTTAGAACATAAATCTTACTTTAATCTTCCAATAGGCAGATGGATTTACTTTCGGCTTCATAGATTTTTCTCTTAAGGCTAGTTATTTGACATCCTCATTTTATGATGAATGACTTATGAGTAATTGACAGAATTCTTCCAGAGATCACTGGCCTCTTGGAAGAACTACAAGAATTTCAGCTGCTGCTACTGCTGAGACAATGTGCAGCAGCTGGAATGCTATATCCGTTTTTCCTTTCTTTTCTGTTTCTTTTATCAATGTGTTGCCTGTAGATGACACAGATCTTCAGAGAAATTCTGAAAGCCCATCCCACTATCCACCATGGGAAATTTTTTCATTTTTTTTTTTTCAGACAGGGTCTTGCTCTATCACCTGACTGGAGTACAGTGGCATGATCTCGGCTCACTGTAACCTCCACCTCCTGGGCTCAATCGATCTTGCTACCTCAGCTTCCCAAGTAGCTTGGAGTACATGTGTGTGCCACCTCACCTGGCTTATTTGTTGTATATATAGATTTTTTTTTCTGGTAGAGTTGGGATTTTACCATGTTCCCAGGCTGGCCGTGAACCCCTGGGCTCAAGTGATCTTCCTGCTTCGGCCTCCCAAAGTGTTGAGATTACAGGTGTGAGCCACTGTGCCGGTCTGAAGATTTGATTTGTTTCTCAGGATCCTTCACCAGCACCCTCCCAATGCTGCTTCCACTTCCTTAAATTTTTCTGTTATCTCCTTCCCGTTTACTACCTGTGGATTCACCACTTTAGATGTTCCAGAGTCTAAAATGGAAACTTGGAATAAGTTGTTTAATATAAACATTGTTAATTGTTTAGTCTAGGTTAGAGGTTCCCAATCCTTGGGCCACAGATCAGCAGCTGTCTGTGGTCTGTTAGGAGCTGGGCAGCACAGCAGGAGATGAGCAGTGGGTGGGTGAGCAAGTATAGCTTTATCTGTTTTTACAACTGCTCCCTATCACTTGCTCCTGTCAGATCAGTGGTGGCGTTAGATTCTCATAGAAGCACGAACCCTATTGTGAACTGTGTATACAAGGCATCTGGGTTGTGCACTCCTTATGAGAATCTAATGCCTGGTGATCTGTTGGTGTCTCCTATTACCTCCAGATGGGATCATGTAGTTGCAGGAAAACAACCTCAGGGCTCCTACTGATTCTGTATTATGGTGAGTTGTATAATTATTTCATTATATATTACAGTGTAATAATAGAAATAATGTGCACAATAAATGTAATGCACTTGAATCATCCTGAAACCACCCCTCACCTGGTCCTTGGAAAAATTATCTTCCACAAAATGGGTCCCTGGTGCCAAAAACTTGGGGAATCACTGGTTTAGGTAATAATAGTGCTAGTTGTTTAGTGCTCTAGTTTTCCTATATAATGTGTCTGGAAACCAAATTGCTACTTATTTTATTCTCATAGGGAGAATGCATTCAGAGTCTCCAGGCTTGGAAAGGCTGGTTGGAAGCACATGTTGATAAATGTGCATTTTTCTTCCTCTCCTTCATTCTTTTTTTTTTTTTTGATTTTTAAATTTTTATTTATTTTTTCTTTTTTTCTCTCTTTCTTTTTAAAAAAAAAAAAAAAAGAGTGAAAACTGGACAGCCTGCACACAGTGACAGCAGGCAGGGAACATGACTGGTTAATCTAGTGACACCTAAGGAAATAGTGGCCAATGTGAGTTCAGAAGGTTACTGTCTTTTCCAGGCTGTGAAAAAAAAAAAATGAAGAAAATTGCAGATCACAAATAGATGGCCTCTGGATTTAATGTGACCTACTAGCATGGTGGAGGCCCAATATTAAAAATCAGGACATTCTGGCCAGGCATGATGGCGCACTCCTGTAATTCCAGCACTTTCGGAGGCCAGTTATGTTAATTATATATTATTATATAATTATATAATGTGAGTGGAACACTTGAGCTTAGGAGTTTGAGACCAGCCTGGACAACATGGCAAAACCCCATCTCTACAAAAAATACAAAATTTGCTTCTGCTTTTGATATTATAGCTACGAAACTATTGCTTGATCCCATGTCATAAAAATTTCACCTGTATTTCAATGCTTACATTCTGGTCTATGATCCATTTTGAGCTAGTTTTTTTTTTTTTTTTTTTTTTTTTTGAGACGGAGTTTCGCTCTTGTTACCCAGGCTGGAGTGCAATGGCGCGATCTAGGCTCACCGCAACCTCCACCTCCTGGGTTCAGGCAATTCTCCTGCCTCAGCCTCCTGAGTAGCTGGGATTACAGGCATGTGCCACCATGCCCAGCTAATTTTTTGTATTTTTAGTAGAGACGGGGTTTCACCATGTTGACCAGGATGGTCTCGATCTCTCGACCTCGTGATCCACCTGCCTCGGCCTCCCAAAGTGCTGGGATTACAAGCTTGAGCCACCGCGCCTGGCCTTGAGCTAGTTTTTATGTGCGGTATTTATTATGGGGAGGGATGGTGATGTTCTTCCCCTGACCGCCTTTCCGTAGATGAGTAAGCAAGATTTTCTTAAAAGCAAAATACAGATTATACCATATAATACAGGTGATTTTCTTATGTATTCATCATGTCATGTAATGATATTACTCATCAACATTTAAAATGTGTTTTCCTTAACATCAAACGACTTTGAAATAACTATCATCTTTGTCTTAGTTTAATCTTATTGTTCTCAGTCAAAGTTTATGTTAATTATGAGATTAATAAGCAGAATTAAATTAGATAAATATTCCCATTTTGGCTAACCTTTTGGTATTCAACAGAGTAATCTTATATCTTCTCTCTAGATTAAGAATTACACTTACTATAGAACTATGCATCTAATTTTTGAGTTTTTAATCATTGATGCCAACTACACTTTCCTAATAAGGCATAGACTTTTCCTTTTTCGTCTCCAGAAAAATCAGTAGAGCAGTTAAGTTGTTATAATTGACACTAACCAACAAGGAAAAGTCCCTAATTACTTGTAAAGTTTCTTTGATCTGTTAGAGACTACAAGTTTTGAGAGTAATTGTAAATCTGAACTACTAAGAGCTGTATGCTAATGGCTTAAATAAGAAGGCCAAGGCAGCTGAGGGTGTAAGACTACTGTCTCCTTTGAAGGGGAAACTAAATTTTGGCACAAAAATGAAGTAATATAAACCTGAATTACCATAAAATTTGGAATTCTGCAAACAGTGTTGAAAGCATCCATGTGACTTTGTTTATGTGTGTTAATTATACTTATTTCTTGATGAATACAGATTAATTCCTGAATTCATTTCATGACTGTTGGAGCCAGATGTTCAGATAGAAAAAGCCATAGTCATTAACTTCTCTTCTAATCTT